TCTCTTTTTCTCTCTCTCTCTTTCCTTCTTTCTTAGTATAGTGAAATAGGGAGCAAATTTTTAAAAAATATGCTCACTTAGAGTAGATTTGCTGACAATATAAACAGGCCATTATAAACACCAGCTTTATTTATGATGAGAAACATTTAAAAAGAAGAATGCATGAAAGTATTTGATTAGGAAAATGCAACCCTTATACCAAAATATATTACACTTAAAGCTATATCTGCTTTTCTTCGCTAAAGCTTCTCTAAAGCATTTATTCTCTCAGGAGACAGAATTGATTAATATAATCATTTGTATTTTACAGTTAAGTAAATGGATTAAAGAGACAGTAAATATGTTTTTAAGTAGCAGTAGAATCATATGATAAATTCAAATTAGAAACAGTTTTTGTTGTTCTGGGTTTCCTGCTGCATTGAAGAACAAGAATCAAACTGATGGGCTGAAAATAAAGAAATAGGTGACCCCATCTTCTCAGTGAACTCATTCTGGGTGTATATTCTATAATTTTATCATCAGAAGAAGACTTTTAGGGACTTTATGGATACTTAATATTTTACTTGAAAAATAAACTAATTAACTCTTTCTTTCTTTTTTTTTTTTTTTTAAGGTTTGAGATTATAATAGATGTTAGCAGCCTAAGAAGTAGGGACTGTGTGACCATCCTCAATGGAAAGGCTTTCTCAAAGGACTGTAGAGAGCTAAGACGATGTGCATGTCAGAGGATGGCAGCAAGAGTGGAGCCCGAAAATCTTCACTCGTCCCCTTGAACCAGCAGATGAAGGGGACTGACGGTTCTGCTTCAGCTACCAACAAAAGAACTGAGACAAGGGAGGCCAATGCAAGGCATATTTGAGACACTGGGCAATGGAAAATAATCAGAAAAGGCAAACTCTCCAACTGGTACAATCAGGATTCCCATTTTTCTTGTTTGGGATCACTAGCATTTCTGAATTTGGGGGTCATGCACATATTTACCAGTCACAAGAAGTCTTTATCTGTGGACCACCAACCAGTCTCAGAAAACCTTACAGTTTTTATCCACTTTCTTGACTTAGAAATAACCTTCTGGTTTTCTTCCTTCTCAACATCCAACACATCTCCCTATTTCCATGTCTTCCTCATATGTAGAGAAGGGACACACTCACTAAAAGAGAGGAATTAAATGGAAGTCACATCCTTTGCTCCAGAGGCAGGTGGTCCAGGGGAAATTAACAGACCTTCCCATCCTGTGCTTCTAAGTGCATGACTAATTTTCTTTGTTCCTCTTCAGTTTACACTTTTCCTTTTCCAGTCTATCAATAAAGACTGCATCCGAAACAGCTGAAACAACTTCTTTTATGAGAATCTTAACTTCTTATAAACATACCTCTGCATACCCACTAATACTCCAATAGTTGTTTCTTTTTCCTAAGAAATTCCTCAAATCCGCTTTACATAGAATCACTCCCCTTGATACCCTCTTCAGAGAGATTGAAGATCAGTAAGAGAAAAAAAGAAAAACCTCTCTTATGTGCACCAGAAATAATTTGGTATTAGTTCTTATTTTCTCCCATTTGATCCATTTTTATACCATTCAGGTACCGAAGAGTTAATAATAATAAATATAAATAATGTTAAGTGTGTGTGATTTTAGAATGGATTTGTGATTTGGGGTAAAATTAAGCATGAGAATTCTTTTTAGAGTATGATAATAATCGTTGTTTTGATTGTGCCTTACTGAGAGTTTGTGAGGACTCTGTGAATTGCTTATGTGATTATTTGTGGAAAAATCCAAGCCTTTGAAATACATATTATCTTCAAGGAGAAGGTTTTAATATCTTCCTAAAATGAGATATTGAAGCAAAATTATGACATCAACACATGACTGGTGAGTAAACTGCTTTTGCAATAGACCACATGATTTCCAGTCAGGTCATGGAAAGTGAAAGAGACTGACAAACTACAGAGCTGAATTTTAGACTAGATAAGGTCTTTCTCAAGATGGCTGTTATGCACAACCATAACAGGGATCTCTGTGAATAAAACTGTCATGACTACTGACTTTATTGGTTATAGATTCATCAGTTTTAGGGGTTTAATATTAGAAAGGATCATCCACGAAAGATTATAAATCTTCATTTTTCAACAGTGAAAACCGGGGTGCTTTGCTTTTATTTTCAGTAAACATGTATTTCATGAGGAAATTACATTCAGTTAGCAATCATGTGATGAAAAAACTCTTGCAGTGTTCCTTTTTGTAAGACTGAATTTGGTAAGATTGTTACTTTATCTGTACTACTTGCAGATTCTTCCTTGAGGACTCTTCTTTTAATTTTCTTCTGGTTAGCTAGCTAGGAAATGTCTTCAGTGCTGCACGAATTTTGTGTTGATATCCTGTGTCATACAGAGAGAACTGCATTTGTGGTTAGAAAATGAGAGTTTTAGACTTATTATTCTGAATTATCTTATGGGCCAATCATTTTACTTCATGGAGCTGATTTCATTAAGTTTAAAGCAGAAATATTTGTAAGTTCCTCATGATGGTACTGTTTGTTAAAATAAGGTAACTGCGAAATTAATTTCACAACCTAAATTGTAATATAAAATGGAAAGAAAACTTATAAAATATTTTAAAAGATCTAGTGATTCATTTTTAAGCATAAGAGAGCACAAACATGCATAAACAACTTTCTTTGGTGAACTGTATTCATAAACAAAAATTAGAGATAACTATTTTGAGGATATTATCAAATATTTTATATGATGAATGCAATATTCAATGAAAGTGGCTAATATAATATGCATAGAATAAGAAATGAGGGGCTAGGGTTGTAGCTTAGTGGTAGAGCATTTCTCTAGCATGTGTGAGGCCCTGAGTTCAATTCTCAGCACCATATAAAGATATAGAAATAAAATACAGATATTGTGTCCATCTACAACTACCCCAAAAAAAAATTTAAAAAAAGAAATGATAATTAGGTGTGTTGTTAAGCAACCATTATTTAAACCCTACTGCTGCAAAGAAAATCCAGTTAAAATGAGAAAGTCAAATAAATTTATGGACTAAATTATAAAGTAGGGATATAATACTCATTTAAGTATCGATTCCTGGCATTCTGTGCTCAGGGATGAATGATAATGTCTCTTTAACTGCCGTTCTTTTGAAGAGTCTAGCTGCCTGAAGAGTGAAAGGTGACCAGTGTCTTCACTACTAATATTGGACCTAAAGGAGAGGTCTTTGTAGATAGTGAGGAGGAAAGAGAGAATTCTTTTGACATACTTTCTTTCCCTGAACTATTCTTCATCTTTACCCTCAATCCCCTGGTCTAATAAAAAAAAACACAATATTGATTGCATTATGAATGAACATTTCAGAATAAAAACATTATGGCACAAAGTTTTCTCCACACACTTAAATTTTTTTTAAAGAGTAGCACGTAATCACAGATGAATTTGAAAATATGATTTGCAGAGAACAACTTTCAGTTGATAGTCAGATTGGGACCTCATCTTAATTGGTTTTTCAGCATAAGATGTTTTTCCTTCTAGATTGTGAGTATGTAATTCTGAAGAAATTGCAGGAAAAGTCAAACAAGAACACAGCCTTTCCTGGTAGAGCTGAGTTCCCTAGGGTACACAATGAGCTATTCCTTTTCCTGAGGATATTGAACCAGTACTTAGAACTTATCAACAGGAAACAGGTCAGGAGCCCTGGAATAGCAGGAAGTTCAAGAAGGATGATGGGCAGATTTTATTTGGGGGATCCAAGAAGATTGTGAACCAAGCACAAGGGTTTAGCAGGTTGTCTCAGGAGCAGTCTTAAAATTCGGGAGTTACTTCCTCTGCAGAGAGATTCTTGTGGTTTCCAAAAGGTACAAAAAGCAGAAAAATCTTACTTAAATGGTATATGACTTTTGTACAAGGCTCATTTTATTAAGAGATTTTCTCAGATTCTAGGTACACCTATTATTATTCTACTAATTATTTCAATGTGTTTAAAAAATATATTTAGTACACTTTATTAATACCTCGTGACAAAGCCTGTTTACATTTGTAGAACAGATATTTTTTCTTTTCAACAACAACAACAACAACAAAAACCTCCATGAGATGAATCCGAGACCCAATTAATCACTGGTGAACTAGGATATAAAATTGGTTATCTCCGTGCTAACATCTTTAAGAAGCTTTGGTATCCTGGACAAAAAGCAACCTGCAGGGAAAACTCTTCCACATTGCCATCTGTGTGGAAGCAGGGTTGCTACTGAGGAGACGTTTAGGAGCGTAGATAACTGCAGTGTAGATAAAATTCTAACTTGTAAATACAGCATCATATACTAGCTGGATAACATCAGCTGGAGGATGTTTGCCTTTTGTTTCACTGTACTTTTTCTAAGGAGAATTGTAAATGCTTCCTATCCTTTCTCTAAACATAGCTCTGTGACAATACTTTGAAGATTCTTTAAGACAAACAGTCTTTACCACTGAAAATCGCTATTGTTTCTCCTTTATTCCAGGTTATTATATTTATCGGCCAGCTGCCAGTTGTGATAACCAAACACAGGAGAAAACTTATATGGTTTTGGGGCATCAGCAGAAAACTAGAGAAAATTCCTTTTGTTGATACTTCCACCATTAAACTCCAGGTCAAAGGTAAATAAAACAAACGAAAAACAAAACCAAAAAATGAGGACATGTTCTTCCAAGGTTTTCCCATTATAAAAAGACCTTTAAGTACCAGAAATTTTATTTTTATTTAAGTGATTTCCACTGCCTTTTTTATTTAAGTGATTTCCACTGCCTTTTATTTAAATAATGCCTTTATTTTAAGGAGAAAATATGAAAATTAAATGTATCTTGGCTACTTCTTATGAAAAATGAAGGATTAGAAATTATATTGAATTTAGTAAATATTTAGTGAAAACCTCCTATGTGCCAAGGTGCTATTCTAGGGATGGCAAATGGGAGAAAGATAATATACAAATAATTAATATTTCCTTCCTGAAGATGATGAGCTATTTACATATCAACAGTCTCTTGAAAATAAGACAGATGTTTCAGGGAGCCCACGTTCCTAGCACAGTGGTTCAGATTGAATATAGAGGGGAATTTTATTTGAAGAGGATTAACTGACTTTAAAACAGATATTCTTTCCAAGTAGTTACTGACAATTTACAGACAAATTTTATTTTCTCAATGGCCCTGCACCATTAGCAGGAAAATAGACTGTTTTGCCCAGCATACACATAGAGGTTGATATCTAGAAGTGGCTGGTGGCTTCCTCCAGATAACAATAGCAAGCACTGATACAGTGTCCAACTCTATAGGACACCATTCGCAACAATTTACATATACTTATGATTTAGTTTTCCAACAATTTTAAAAGTAAATCCAATTATTATTTTTTGATGGAGAATTTGGGGCATTGAGAAATACAGTTAAAAGTACTGGTATGTTAATCTGGGGGTGCAGACATGAGCCCTTCGATTTGTGAGTGGTGGGAGTGTTCTCAGAGGCAGTCAGGAGGCTCACAGCTTTCCTTCACTGGGTAACAGATGCTGGCAAGTTCTAGGGGTTCACTTCTCCATGGAACTCTGCACCATTAGCAGAGTTTTCTCTGCAGTGTCTGTACTCCTGAAAAAGAGTACAGACACTGCAGAGAAAAGCCTTTTCCCCTCAATTCCAATTTAGAAATCCATATCTCTTTCCTTTTACTCTGTCAATCCAACAACATAATGCCTGAAAGCTTAGAAAATGCATAGGAAGGGCTGGGGATGTGGCTCAAGCGGTAGCGTGCTCGCCTGGCATGCGTGCGGCCTGGGTTCGATCCTCAGCACCACATACAAACAAAGATGTTGTGTCTGCTGAGAACTAAAATAAATATTAAAAATTCTCTCTCTCTCTCTCTCTTC